GGAGAGCCTCAAGAGGAAGGAGGAAGCAAAGAAAATCTTAGACATGGAGAATAACGATGAGAATAAAGAAGTATACAAGTTGGCAAAGAAAGAAGCAAAGAAGAGTGTTGCCCGGGCAAAGGCAAGAGCATATCAAGTGCTGTATGAGGACATGGAGACTATCGATGGACAGAAGCAGGCATTGAGAATGGTGAAGCAGAGAGACAGAACTCAAAGGACATCTACCAGCCAAAGCTGATCAAGGATGAAAAGGGCAATTGTTAGTGGGAAAATGCTGAGATACTGATAGATAACAGGAATATTTCAACAAACTGATGAATGAGGAGAACCCTAGAAAAAATAGGCAAGAGACCCAGAGTCGTGGAGAAAGAGATTAGCGAGATTACAACGAGGAGGTGGAGAAATCTCTGAAGAAGATGAAGAACGGTAAAGCAGTGGGCCCGGATAACCTACCAGTCGAGTGTAGAAGAGCTTAGAATTACTTGAGATGAATATATGAAGCAAGAACTCAACAAAAGCATGGAGGAGAAAATCCCTGATGGATGGAGGAAAAGCACTTTAATGCCAATTTTCAAGAATAAAGGAGATATCATGGAATGTGATAACTACCGAGGTTCCAAGCTCATGAGCCAGCAGCATGAAACTATGAAAGAGTGCAGGAAAGCCGAGTAAGAAACGTCGTGGAGATCAGGGAGGGACAGTTTGGCTTCATGAAAGGCAACAACAGATGCCATCTTTGTGTTGAGGCACTTACAAGAGAAATTAAAAGAGGGCCAGGATGACTTACACAATGTGTTTATGACCTGGAGAAGGCCTATGACAGGCGCCAAGAGAGAAGCTCTATTGATGCATGGGAGATAAAAGGGTACCTGTATAATACATCAGAGTGGTTAAAGACATGTACGAACGTTGCGTGACTGAAGTGAACTATGCAGTGGGAACTACACAAACTTTACTAATAAAAGTCGGATTACACCACGGATCAGCGTTGAGTCCATTTCTATGCCATCATTATAGACTCGCTCAGAAAAGATTGCAGAAAGAAATCCCCCTGGCATGTGATTGCCGATGATGTGGTACGACGAGAGAGAAGCGAGAGCTGGAAATATGGAGCTGCGATGAGAAAAGAGGAAATGAAGATCTCAAGATCAAAGACTGAGTATGTGCCTGAATGTGACATCAACTGGAAGTGTGATGTTGCAGAGATAGTTACCAGAAGCAATGGCATTTAAGTACCTGGAAGTACACTTGAGACAGATGGAGGAAAAGGGGCAGAAGTAAACCGAAGGATTCAATGTGGATGGAACAACTGGAAGATGTCTAGCATCCTCTGCGACATAAGTACACCATTGCAGGTGAAAGACAGGATCCACAGGATGGTAATCCAACCAGCGATGATATATGATATGGAAATGAGCCCCTGACTACCCGTGACACCGAGACTAAAAGTGGCAGAAATGAAACTAAGCACATGGGCACGTGGCCACACATTGGAAGATCACGTGAGGAACGAAGTGATTCGAGAAAATTTAGGGAATCATGAACATCACGTCACAGTGCATGGAAGCCGACGAAGGTGGTTTGGTCATGTGAAAAGAAGAGACGAGGAGTATGCTGGGCGTAGTGTGCTAGAGAGGGCACCACCAGGAAGAAGACGAAGAGGAAGGGCGAAAATGAGATGGATTGACTGCCTGAAAAAAGACCAGGAAGAGATAAAACCAAAGGAGGAGACGCTCTGGACCGGGAAACTTGGAGGAAGAGGATAGCTGCAGGCCCTGTAACGTAAACAGGACAGCTTGGAGGACACAGAAGAGAAATTATGTCTGTGTTATTCATGGACAAATCACTGACTAGGAATTATTATTTTTTTCTCTTTATAGATCATACAGTAGTGAGTGTGTGGGTGATCTTGTGTGTATGTTAGCGTCCACGAAGATTTTGAAAATAGGACGAAAGAACAGAGCGAAAGGGAGATGGACAGCCAAACAACATTCGAAAGAAAGAGCAATTCTTATTCAGTAACAATAGTGACACCACACTGCTGTAGCGTTACAGTATTTTCTTATCTAAATCGTAAGCGCTATTGCGATATAAATTCCCTAAAAAGCGAGCCAAGGAATCTTAAATACAAGGAGAAAATAAGGAAAGACAAACAGGGATTATCCGACCTTACTTCTTATGTCCTGCAGCAGGACAACAATTTTCCTCTTTAAATCGCACGTATTGCTTTCTTATTGTTTTTATTAGATATTATAGAGTCCCTCACTGTTATCATTATTGTTGAGCTGATGCCTCTTTCTTGTATTTTCTTTCGTTTCTTCTTCGTTTGCTTGATTTGTATAGCGGGAAATTTATACAGATTATTCAATGAAATTATCTAAGTGACCTTCGACTTCTCAGTATATACATGTTTCTTATTCAGCGGAGAGACAGATAAAAAATGTTCTAATCCTACGACAATGATGATAATAGTGATGATAATAATGGTGATGATAATAATAACGATAACAAAGACAACAACAAAAATAATTATACCAATATAGATGTTGATAATGATAATAAAATTAATAACAATAATAAAAAAGTAATAATGGTAACATGATGATAACAATAATAATGGTGATAATAATAATATTAACATGATGATAACAATAATAATGGTTAATAATAATATTAACATGCATGATAACAATAATAATGGTGATAATAATAATATTAACAATAATGATGATAATAATAATATTAACAATAATGATAATGATAATAATAGTAATGATGATAATAATGATAATAATAATAATTATTATAATAACAATAATAATAATAATAATAATAAGAAGAAGAAGAGAGAAGAAGAGAGAAGAAGAAAGGAAATAATATTTGAAGACTAAATATATGCATAGCTTTCTTGAACTCGAACTGGAGAGAAAATCTATTTCTGAAAGAAAGTTACAGAAAACTATCTAAATAATAAAGATGATGGAGAGTTCCCGATGACCCAGACTGCACACTTCTAGGGACTGAATTATAAGGACTTCTAGGGACTGAATTATAAGGTATCTGCGTGGGTCGGCAGCCATCTTGCGTCCGGGAGAGTTTTTTCGTTGAATCGACGACAAGAATTGGAGCGGGAAGAGGGATTGGAAACGGAAGAGGAGGAAGAGGAAGAAGAAGGAAAAGGAGAGGGGGAGACGGAGTGAAGGGCAGGACAAGGAAGATGAGAGAGAGAGTGGAAGGGAAAGAGAAACAGACAGATAGGTGAAGAATATGGGAGCGAGGAGGAAGGTAAAAGCAGGAGAGGGAAAGAGAGAGAGAAAAGAAGAAGAAGGTGAGAGAGAAAAGACAAGGGAAAGAGAGAAATAGGAAGAAAATAGACACGGGGAAGGGGGAAATAAGAGGGAATGGATAGGAAAGGAAGGAGACCGAAAGAAAGAATAAGAAAGAGAGAGGAGGGAAACAAAAAAAGTGAGTATATGTGCGTGTGTGTATATGTTTGCGTGTGTGCTGTGTGTGTGTGTGTGTGTGTGTGTGTTGTGTTGTGTGTGTGTGTGTGTGTGTGTGTGTGTGTGTGTGTGTGCGTGTTTCTTTGTTTGTATGTGTGTTTGTGTGTGTATGTGTGTGTTTGTGTGCGTGCGTGCCTACATACGACTCTATATACATGCTCTCTTCCTCCTCTCACACATTCCCAAAATCAAACAGTCCAAAACCAACGCCACAGTCGCCCAAACATTCGTCAGCCGCGAACGAGAAAGATGTCGGCCTCGATGTTATTCCCTTGGAGTCAACCGGTTCAAAGACAACGCCGCTGCGCCACTGACTCCCCTCTTCCCGTTTTCGTGTTTTATTTCTTTTTCTTCTTTCTTGGTTTTAATAGATTGTTTTTGTTTTTGTATTCCATGTTGGTATATTGTGATCATTCTTGTCTTTATTATCATTATTACTATTCATAAACTAATTATTATATTATTGTTTTCATTACTTTGCTATTACCTTGCTACCATTTTTATTCTTGTTCAGTGTTATTTCTTTACTATTATTATAATTATTATAATTATTGTTATTATTATTGTCATTATCATCATTATCATTATTATCACTATCATTATATTATTATCATTAATATTATGATGATGATTGATATTATTATCCTCATTATCACTAGTATTACTATAATACTACTACTACTACTAATAATAATATTATTATTATTATTATTATCACAATTTTTATGAAAATATCTTTATCATCATCATTTTATTATTATCATTATCATTGTTATTATTATCATTATTTCTTTATTATTCCGTCTGCTTTTAAGTCCTGGCAGTTCTCATAACCGAATTACATCCCAATGAGTCGCATGGGGTCGCTCCCTTTCAGTACTCGAGTAATTATTTAAATACTGTCTTCTGTAAAAATCCTGTGTCAATGTAAAAGTCCTGTAATCAATGTGATATCTAACTTTCCGAACCGTTCATCCACTTTCTTCTTGCTCCGACAATCACAGGTACAACTATTACACTTCTCTTGTTCTAAATCCTCTTCATTTCCCTTTTCAAATCTTGGCATTTCTCTACTTTCTCCTTTTCCTTGTCACTAGTTCTACTATCACCTAGTACAGGAATA